GGTTTATAATTTCAGTTTCAGCTGAGAAATCAGAAGCAAGAGGGCTTGAAGAAAGTGGTACACTGTCTTTATCATTAGAGTCAAGGTCCTTTTCTTCAAATGAAAAGGAAAACAGCACATATAAGCAACACATGAAAATCCACTTAATGCTTTGTCCCTGCTATGAATTCCTATTTAAAAATTAAGCTTGTGACTTTTCTGGAATATTTAAAACATACTCTTATATCTTTGTTCGAATTTCTGAATTCTTTGTCAGCAAGAACAGTTTTAATTTCTTTTTTATCTCTAGCACCTAGCACAGTACCTGGCAAGCACTATGATTACTTTTAATATATTGAATGTAGAACCTATTTATGTACAAAACTGAACCTAATGAACAATATCAACATAATCCTAACAAAAACAAATTTATTTTCAAAGGAAGTGCTTATATAACATAGCCAGGATTAGGACCCAATTGGATCTGAGTGTCCCAGTAGGGCAGACGTCTTACTACTTTTACTTAAATACATACCTGACTTACCACTGTTCTGTGGCTTCAGTTCTTTGGTAGTATGTCTAGAATAAAAAAAATAACATACTGACAACCAATTCTAAATGTGTGAAACAACAAAGAATATATCATCTACTATTAAAAACAATCAGGATATAATCCATATTACATAAGATACTTACTTTGGGGGAATTTTAGTTTTAGGTGGACTAGCATCTGATGGGACAAAATCTTCATCTTGAGTTTTTTCATCAAAATCTGAGAAATCATCATCTGAATCCAAATCCATTGTGAATTTGGTTTTTGCTATTAAAAATATATATATACAAAGAATCAGAGAGGGTAACAGGAGAGAATTTTTTTTTTTGAGACAGGGTCTTGCTCTGTTGCCTGGACTAGAGTGCAGTGGTGTCATCGTAGCTCACTGCTGCTATCTTCCTGGATTCAAGTGATCCTTCCGCCTCAGCTTCCCAAGTAGCTGGGGTTACAGGCATGTGCCACCACACCCGGCTAATTTTTCAGTTTTTTTTTTTTGAGACAGACTTGCTCTATTGTCCTGGCTAGAGTGCAGTGGAGTCATCATAACTCACTCCAACCTCAAGCTCCTGGGCTCAAGCGATCCTCCTGCCTCAGCCTCCCCAGTACCTAGGACTACAGGCATGCACCACCATGCCCAGCTAATTTTTCAGTTTTTTTTTTTTGAGACAGACTTGCTCTATTGTCCTGGCTAGAGTGCAGTGGAGTCATCATAACTCACTCCAACCTCAAGCTCCTGGACTCAACTGATCCTCCTGCCTCAGCCACAACCAGGTAAGTTTTTTATTTTGTGTAGAGACAGGGTTCTCATTCTTGCTCAGGCTGGTGTGGAACTCCTGACCTCAAGCGATCCTCCCGCCCTGGCCTCCAAAAGTGCCAGGATAACAGGCGTGAGCCACCATATCCATCCAGGACAAACATTTAATTCACAGATTGATATAACATTTCATGAATATTTTAGCTTCAGTTTAATATCCTAAAAGATGGTTGTTTTTCAAAAATTTAATATAATTTACTGCTCTAAGATATAGTAATTTCTGGGATTAAGTACTCTGAAATAATATTTAAATCTTATAACATATCTAAAATATTCTTTAGTTTTCCTTACTTGTTGTTCTCCGAGGCTCTGTTTCTCGTGGAGGGACATCAAAATTACTGTCATTACTGCTCATATCTGATTCTGAATCAGACCAGGGATTTCTCTTACTTCCCTTTTTGACTGGTTTAAATGGCAATGTAGTTTGTTTCTTTCTCTTGGTACCTAGAGGAGAAATAGAAATTAACCACCTTTAAATATTCTTAGACTCACTTTTCTCCATCTACCATCCATCTGTCCTTCAAATGTTTACTGAGCACTGTGATAGTACTGGGAATACAATGGTGAACATAGTCCCTGTTTTTGTCGTGCATATAGCTTGGTCATTTAATTTCATAAATAAATACAATGTGTTTATGTAGGGTATATAGTACACATGTATAAATGTCAGGCTTCTTCAAGAAAGAGATACTTGAGAGCTGAGATCTAAAGGTTAAATAGAACTTAAGTAGTTGAAGGGAGGGAGGTCACGAAACATTCCAATTCAGGACATACAAAGGTCCTGTGTGGAAACCCATGCACTTACGAAATGGAAAGCCCACTATGGCTAGAAAGCAGAAGGGGCAGTGGCTAGTCAGTGGCTAGTCCTGCTAAGGATTTTATTTTAAACAAGGAACCTATATGACCAGATTTGTGTTTTTAAAAGTTCTCTCAGGTTGCAGGGTGGAGATTGGAAAGGGGCAAGAATAGATGCAAGGAGGTCAATGGGAAGTTATTGCTGAAGTTAAGACAAGGGAGACAGTTCAAAGGGAAAAGAATGGCTAGGACCAAACCTTGAGGGGAGTAGGAAATTTGAAGTCACTCTGATTCTTTTCCCCAAATGTTTCTCATACCCATCCTTTGCTTTTTATTTCCCTCATCTTGGCCCACAAAGATGACAAGGACAGTCTCCTCTCCTTATTGGTCAGATATAGTCCCTTCTTCATATTCTTGTCAGGGGGATTTTCCTAAAGTACACCTATTTCGTATTTCCTAATTGAACCTAGTCTTAGCTATCTTCCCCCAACAACCTGGTGTTTAACTATCGATTTCCTACTATTTCCCAATATAAAACCTTCCACTCTGTTAGTGGAGCATTCTCTTTGTCCCATACACATTATATGCTCATTTTTCTTCTTCCAGTCTATAAAACCTAAATCTTAACCAATCTTTAAGACTCTATAACCCAACTTTTATCTCTTTCACAAAGCTTTTACAATCTACACCAGCCTACACTGATCTACCTCAACCTTTCTCTAAATCCCTACAGTGACTAGTATACAGTGCTTAACTTTCTTTCTTGAGGGTAAATGTAAATGCCATGCTCTCCAACTTCTCATGTCCTCACAATATTTGATATGATGGTGGGAACATGAATGCTCAAAATACTTAAAATGATTGTTGGTTATATATGCTAAATAATTGCTAGCTTGGTTTAAAATTAAATGTGTGCTGCATTTAAGGCAAATATATAATGTTGCAGAGCGTGGCACACATATTACTTTTTAAAAAAATACTATGATATTTCCTTATAAATGAACTGATATATATGTGTGCCTACAGAATTGAGCACATGTTATCTATCAAAAGTAGATACTCAGGATGGATATATAGACCAATCAATGTAATAGAATTGAGGGTCCATAAATAAACCTTAACATTTACAGTCAAATGATTTTTAACACAGGGGAAAGAAGTCTTTTTAACACATGGTATGGGAACAACTGGATCTCCACATGTAAAAGAATTAGGTTGGACACCTTTACAACATATACAAAAACTAATTTCAAAGTGGATCACAGACATAAATATAAGAGCTAAAACTATAATTCTTAGAAGACAACATAGGATTCTATCCTCATGACTTTGAATTTGGCAAAAGATTAGATATGACACCAAAAGCACAAGCATCAACAAAAAACAGGTAAACTGGACTTCGGCAAAAAAAAAAAAAATTTTTTTTTTTTGAGACAGGGTCATAGCTCACTCCAATCTCAAACTCTTGGGCTCAAGTGACCCTCCTGCCTCAGCCTTCTGAGTAGCTGGGACTACAGGTGTGCCCCGCCACACTAATTTTTCTATTTTTTTTGGTAGTCCCACTCTTGCTCAGGCTGGTCTCAAACTCCTGACCTCAAGCGATAATCCTCCTACCTTGGCCTCAGAAAGTGCTAGGATGATATGTGTGAGCCACCACGCCCGGCCTGGACTTTGGCAAAATTAAAAATTTTAATTTAAAGATTAAAAACCTGTGCTTCAAGGCTGGACGCGGTGGCTCACGCCTATAATCCTAGCACTCTGGGAGGCCGAGGCGGTGGGATTGTTTGAGCTTGGGAGTTTGAGACCAGCCTGAGCAAGAGCGAGACCCCATCTCTACTAAAAAAATAGAAAGAAATTAGCTGGACAACTAAAAAGATATAGAAAAAATTAGCCAGGCATGGTGGTGTGTGCCTGTAGTCCCAGCTACTCAGGAGGCTGAGGCAGTAGGATTGCTTGAGCCCAGGAGTTTGAGGTTGCTGTGAGTGAGGCTGACACCACGGCACTCAAGCTCAGGCAACAGAGCAAGACTCTGTCTCAAAAAAAAAAAAAAACCCTGTGCTTTAAAAAACCATCAAGGAAGTGAAGATACCCACAGAATGGGAGAAAATATTTGCAAATTGTATCTCATATGGGACTGGTATCTAGAATACATAAAGAACTCTTATAACTCCATAATAAAAAGACAACCCAATTAAACAATGAACAAAGGCACTGAATAGACATTCCTCCAAAGAAAGAAGCACATGAAAAGATGCTCAACATCATTAGCCAATACAGAAATGCAAACCAAAACCACAAGATACACTTCACACCCACTAGGATGGCTGGAATCAAAGAGAAAGACATAAATGTTGGTAAGGATGTACAGAAACCAGAACCATTGTATATTGCAAGTGGGAATGTAAAATGGTTCAGCTGCTTTGGAAAACAGGCCGGCAGTTTCACAAAAGGTTAAACAGAATAATCACATGACCCAGCAATTCTACTCCTAGATATCTACTCAAAATAAATGAAAATATACATCCACACAAAAACTTATATAGTACATAAATGTTCATAGCAGCATTATTCCAACAGCCAAAAAGTGAAAACAACCCAAATACCCATCAACTGATGAACAGATAAAATGTGGCATATTCATAAAATGAAATACTATTTGGCAATAAAAAAGAATGAAGTACTAATACATGTTGCTACATGGATAACTCTTGAAAACATCATGCCAAGTGAAAGAAGCCAGCTACAAAAGACCACATATGATATGATTCCATTTATAGGAAATGTCCACAATAGGTAAATCTAGATATGGTAGATTTTTTTAGTGGTTGCCTAGTGGAGGAAAGGGGGTTGGTGGGAAATGGGGAGTGACTGGTAATGGGTAGGTTTTTTTTCTTTTTTTGAGACAAGTTCTTGCTACGTTGCCCAGGCTGGAGTGCAGTGGCCTGATCATAACCCACTGTAGTCTCAAACTCCTGGGCTCAAGAGATCCTCCCACCTCAGCCTCCCAAGTAGCTGGGACTATAGGCATGTAGCACCATGCCTAGCTTATTTTTTAAACCATTTTTTATAGAGAAGGAATCTGATTATGTTGCCCAGGCTGGTCTTGAGCTCCTGGCTTCAAGTGATCCTCCTGCTTTGGTCTCCCAAACAGCTGGGATTATAGGTGTGAACCACCATACCTAGCCTAAGGCCTAATGGGTATAGTTTTTCCTTTTTGGGGTGATAAATTGTTCTAAAACTCTATACTAAAGCCACAGAATATTATACTTAAAATGGGTAAATTTGGTATATGAATATCTCAATAAATATGTTAAAAAAAAGGTTAGATGCTCAGTAAAGGCATAATCTGATGGTTAATAGAATTATTAATTCTATTTAGTTTACTGAGTGAGGATTACCTGTATCCCAGGCATGATGTGGAACTCTAGAGACAATATAAACATCACTAAGATGTGGTTGCTGCCCTCAAGCAGCCTGATATACTAGAACTTCATAATACGCTGGAAAGTGAAATCCAATAAACTGAGTGTTTTCTTAGATCCCAACTAAGGAATTCAAATTACCAAATTAACTATTTCATTACAAAATGATCTTTTCTAAAATGAATCAACTCCCAAGGACAATATTACGGAGGTTCAAGTAAAATTCATACACAGTTCTCCTTCATGTTACTCAATTCAACTCAACAAAAATATTTTGAACCTCTATGTGGAATGTACTCGGTAACAAACACAATTTAATCTTGACTTTATGCCATTTTCCTTAAAATGTTATAATACCTGGTTCTCTTTTCTGTTTCTTCTCTAATCTTTGTTTTAAGCTTTCTAGTTCCATACCATCCTCTTGAGGGCTTCTTTCAGTATTTTCACTCTAAAAGATACAAAAATGGTCAAGTTCTGCCAACTTATTACTTGGAATAATATACAGTCAAATATGCAAATATATATATATATATATATATATATAGTCGAAGAGTGCTTTCTTCTTTGGGTTTGGTTAAGAGCTCTGCATAAAAGCACAGGTATGACTTTTTCAAGATCCTAAAAAAAAAAGCAGGCACATAAGAAAGGAAGGTTATGGTTAGATACAGAATAAATTCCAAACTATGAGATTAGAAATTTTATGATATAATTTGTTTTAAGTGGAAACATGCTTTAACATTTATTTAACATTATAACATTTTCAAGAGTATTACCTTAATTTTCTTTCTATTTTTCTTTTCTGCCTCTGCTTTCATTTCTATGGTTACTTGGGGAATGACTCTTTTTCCACGTGGAGAAGGCAAAACTTCAGCCATTTGAGTTTTTTTCCCCTTTGCTTTCCCCCCTTTCCCAGGAAGTCCAACTTGTTCATCTTGTTTTTCCTTGGCTTCAACAGCCTACAAAAGGAATATAAGAAAGCAAATTTATAAGCTAACAGAGATATTATAGCATCTAAAAGACCATAAACTGATTTCAATTTGTTATTATCTTATGATAAATTTGTGATAAACTGTTCCATAACCACATACAGTATCAACAATAGTGAAGATACAATTAAGGCACACTTTGATAAGGTAGGTGTGGAGACAGAAGACTGGGTTCTTCTATTCCTGATTCTACCACTTAACTTTTCTGAGCATAACAAGGGGAAACTGAGTTAAGGATAAAATACATATATACATATATATTTTGAAAATTCATATAAGGATGTGGTATCAGTAATGTACGATTATCTGATCTACTAATTACAATGAGGTGGACATCTATACTGAAGTACAATAATATAAGTTTGCATGTTAGTTTAATTTATGAAATGATATTTTTTTTTTTTTTTTTTTTTGAGACAGAGTGTCACTCTGTTGCCCTGGCTAGAGCGCTGTGGCGTCAGCTGACAGCAACCTCAAACTCCTGGGCTCAAGCGATCCTACTGCCTCAGCCTCCCAAGTAGCCGGGACTACGGGCATGTGCCACCATGCCCGGCTAATTTTTCTATATATATTTTTAGTTGCCCAGCTAATTTCTTTCTATTTTTTTTTAGTAGAGACGGAGTCTCGCTCTTGCTCAGGCTGGTCTCGAACTCCTGAGCTCAAACGATCCGCCTGTCTCGGCCTCCCAGAGTGCTATGATTACAGTCGTGAGCCACCGTGCCCGGCCTGAAATGATATTTTTAAAAAATGTTAAAATAATGTTGGGAAACAAGCATTATTAGGGAGATTTAAGTAACAAAGGATCTTCTGAAACTGTCTGGCTACCTCTGAAGGTAAATAGGCTTTTCCTTTTAAGTTGACCTGGGGGACTGGGTTGGTCTTCTGCCACATTTAAGCTCTCTTTATCTTCTCAATCCCAAAAAGTCCTTTTCTTTATCAAAAATCAACTCCTGCCCTTTCCTCTCTGTCCATAAACTTCTGGGTAGTATGTTTCCTGTTATCATTTACTTTGTTACAACTAGTACTTAATAATCTGTTTCTTTATATGTTATTTTGGAAGGTATCCTTATGCCTCCTATATTCTCTCTATTTCTATTGATAACTGTGAAATTTCTTTACAAAGAGGTATATTGCTGGAATATACTATTTAATTAATAAAAATTCTAACATGGGCGTTATAAACTACACACCTCCAGTTCTTCAATAAAAGCAGCCAAGTCTTCTTTCCACAAATCTGATGGAGTCTTTTTCCTTAATGTGTCCAGCTCTTGCTCCTTTATTAAATAATCAGAAAGTTGAGCTAATATATGTACACAAACAGCATTTTCATGCAACACACAATTAAATATTTACTTTTACCATTAGAACAAAGCTAAGTAATAGGCACTGTCCTATTATCAACTCACTTTTTCATTTCTTAGTTTGCACAGTTCATCTTTCTTTTCCTTGGTTAGATACCAAAGGGGCATATCAAGCAGGTAGTTGAAGGTTGGTCCAGAATCTGTTACAGAGTCACTCTTTTCAGTTTCCTTTTCATTGTCACTCTCTTCATTTTCTTCTTCATCTGGAACCTAAAGGACAAATTAAAATGTAGCTTTTAATAGGATGTGTGAAACATAAATATTATACAGAACATAGTCTTTAGCAATATAGAAAAGTGCTAACTGAGAAATTACCTTTTGTTGGGCTTCTTTCCAGGCCTTCACAGGATCTGAATCATATCCCCTCTGAACCAGAACTTTAATTATTTCTTTCTTCGGCTTATTTTCTATTTAAAAAAAATGTAAACAGAGATAATGGTTTTGAACTATATATATATTAATGTACATTTTGAGACAGGGTCACACTGTGTTGCCAGATTGGAGTGCAGGGGTGCAATGATAGCTCACTTGTAACCTTAAACACTTGGGCTCAAGTGAGCCTCCTGTTTCACTGTCCTGAGCAGCTGGGACTATAGGCCCATGCCACCATGTCCGGTTAATTGTTTCGTTTTTTGTAGAGATGGGGGTCTCACTATGTTGCCCAGGCTGGTCTCAGACTCCTGGCCTCAAGTGATCCTCCTGCTTTGGCCTCCCAAACTGCTGAGATTACAGGCTTGAGCCACTGTGCCCAGCCAGTTTTGAGCAATATTTTAGAAAAGGGAGAAGATTTTACCATATTAAGTCAAAAGATTAAAACTGGAAATTAAACTGCCTTTGTCTTGCACAAATCTGTACATCCTGCTACAGAGACAAATCTCCTTAAACCATTGACAAATATAAATTACCACAAGCGGGCAGTCAAATCACACATGAGGTTTTTTTTTTTTTTTTTTTT